CGTGTCTTGTCGGCAAACCCTCACCTTAGTTCAAAGTCTGACGCTTATGAATATACGCAGCGCACCATTTACCGCTCATTACACCGGTAACACGTAGCAGTATCATTCACGAGGTAACAGCCCTTCAAACCTTTACTTCCATTTGAATTTATTGCAGTGCGCAAATATCAGGACAAAGTACGCTTGCTACGATACGAGTGTATCTCAAGTAACAACAACTACATGTGTTGCGCTCTATTACAACCATAACCTCAAATACGCACGTGCTCATCCAAACAGCGCGAGTGTTTGGATGACTCAAACTTCGCGCCAGTCTGCGCTCAACCACCACGCTGCATAGATGAGTAGTATACATTAATCCACCACAAGAATTATTTCCATAATTAATAATAGTAACTAGTCAACCTTGTCATCAATAAATAACAGAATAAACAGTATACATTTATATTGCATTATTATAATATCCCTTCCACTTGTGACCCATCATCGCTATCACACAACACCCGTGGTCTCTGAGTTATCAACGGCATCAATTTGTATCCTTCGAATCAATCTTGGTAAAACAATCCCGAGCGGCGAATACATTTTGTACAACTAGTAATAACAGAAATCTTACATTTTTTAGAAGTTCCCTTCAAATAGACTACATTTTTAACAAAATATTATTTGGCAAATATTATATGTAAAAATATTACATAATTTAATTTATACATAATTGTAATGGTTATACTATAATTGTATTAGATATTAAATATTTGTGGTAAGTACAGAACAGATACTCGTGTAATATTAAATACGAATGGATAAAAATTGGAATGGTGTTATAATAAATTAATTTAGCAATATAAATATTATTGAATAAGCACTAAAGTATAATATATAAATATTTATGGCAAGATTTAAATTCCTTATTATTTTATAGCAAATAATGTAAAATTTTAGTAAATGTTTCAAGTTATTTCTTAAAATTAAAAAAAATAGAAAATCGCAGAAAAAAGTCATATTAACTAAAAAGGGGAAATATTAAAAGCGAATATCATTATTGAAATATGCACAAAAAATTTTTCATTTACATAGAATGTGTATAATACTAAATAATAAAATTTGAAATATATGTCGAATACTGAAAATCAGTGACCTTGATATAAAATATACAAGACTATTAAATTATGAAATACAAATATTCTTCTATTTTATTTTTTATGTATTTTTCAAAATAGTGTTAAATGAAAAACAAATAATATTATTTAAGAACTCAGTTATTTTATCTATAAGTATATCTTAATTATTTTTAAAAAACATTTATAAAGAAAGAAAATATTCACGAAAAAGAAAAATAATACTTAATAATTTTTTCTTGTACATCAGATATTATTGAAATCATTCTTAAGTTAATTTACCTGAGAATTTCTAACCAAAGTTTTTTATTAATATTTGGACTACAATTTTAAATATGAGTTTTAAGATCTGAATATAGTGTGAAAATCCATCAATTTCATTCTATAATTCTTATTAATTAACAAAATATTATATATAATTAAATATAATTAAAAACATATAATTAAAAAACTTACACAATCTTTAGGGGCCAAGTGGTTACTAAGATTATCGTTGGAATAATTAGTATTATTACAACGGGAATGCTGAATAGATGTAACCAAATTAATTGAATCTGTGAATTAAATTTGAATATAGTATTAAAATTATATTATAAAAAATAAAATATTCTATTAAATTAATGACTGCAAATATCATTCCTGTAATACACGCCATTACTTTGACAAATAAAATTAAAATTCGATAAAAAGTTATTTGAATATCTTCAGAGATATATTCATATTAAAAATATCAATATAATATTCAATCAGCGAAGGTAAGTAACAAAACAGGGCCCGACTGCCTTTAATATGAATTTAACAACTTACTCAAACTAAAAAAAATATTTCACTTGTTACACGTCCTATTTAGGAATATGCCCATTTCTTTGCTAATCTTTACATTAGCAAAGATTGGTGGTGTTAATAGCATTTCACTCGCCACACTTCCTTTCAAGGAATGTTTCATTCTTGCTGTTTTCTTTCTTTTTCACAATTTCACTCTTCCAGCAAAAAATTCAAATTCATTGCTGATCCTTACAACAGCAATAGCATCGTCACCATCACCAAGGAGCAACTATATCGTTGTGATTCAACATAGTTCATACTCTCCTATGAGAAGTGAATTAAGCTCATCAATAATTGTTAATAAACCATATATTAACGAAGTTGAAACACACTGTATGTTTCTACAGCTATTCCATATATCTTCTTCCCAAGTGTTCGATTTTAAAAGCTTAGCTCATGGCTCGAACTACCAATTCAATAGTTCGGTGGATTAGTCTCTCGTCAGGATAACATTAAATGAAAAAATAAGTGACAAGGCTGAAAAATATCATGTATTTAGTAAAGAAATATTTATTATTTGTAAATAATTATAATAATATTGCAATGTTGTGGAGAAAGAAGATTATTCTATTAAAGTAATGAGGGTGTGTTCTTGTATTCTTGATTATTGTAGATTCTATGGATATAACTGTGTATCTTGAAGTTGAGGTAATGCTGATGTTGTAAATATCAGCTGGTGTAGTCAATCAATCATGCTTGTGAGGTAGCATGAGAAGATGGTGTTTGAATAAAGTATGCTTGATGTATGAATAACTATACTTGATATGGTGTAAGATGTCTTTAATTATTTATGGGGGCAGTAAAAGAGTCTAGTCACAGGTAATAGTGGTTAATGATAAGCCTTTTAGATCTTGAAGAACTTAATAATCTGTATTTATAGTCGATTAGTCGATTGTTGACCTTCCTTGACAACGTGCTTAACGCATAGCGACACTTGTGTCAGCTGTTGAGGGCCTGTACGGTTTCGAAGTATTAGTTCGAGAGAACGTAAGTTTACCCGACTTATTTTTGTACAAGATGTGACTAGCTAATTTATTAATATAAAAAGATGTACCTTGTGAGCTGCAGGCAAGGTGTATTAGTTGCTATGTAATTGATGTCCCCTTTGATTACTATTCCTTTGGCTTCATTGTAATCACTTCTAAATCTGCCGATTTCCCTTTATTAATGCACACGTGTATTATTAACTTGAATACTGAATATATGGCCACGTGTTGTCTTCACAGTATACTGAAACACTGAGCGGCAGTTACACTTAAATGAGCGTACGATCCTTTTGAATACGCGCACGAACTGAAGGCTTGATCGTTCCGTGGCGGCTCTGCTGAAAATACCGACCATTCCATGGAGGTCCTGCTGAGGGCAGATCGAGACCCGTGTACCATGGCTTCTACTGGTAGATGATTAAATCGGTTCACTATGGTTGGTCACTGTGGTCGAGTCACGGCAAGATGTTAGCCGCAAGCGCAGTTGAGCGAGGGTGGTTCGGCCAGAAAGCCGGTCAGCAAGAGAGGTTTTCATCGAGAGAGATTTTCAGCGAGAGCGCGAGGCGCGCCCCGTGCGTGCCTTATATATCCACGCGGCGGCTCACTTAGCTGGCAACAAAGCATAGTCGTTCTCGCACTAATTCTTACTCGAGGCGTAGAAAGAAAAATCTAGATCCTTCGAGAATTCAACGAAAGAAAAATAGGATGTAATACCTTTCTTGCCGAGTTTTGTTTATAAAAATTCGTCCGAGTGCACGTCCAGATCCGAGCACGCGTGCCGCTCCGAGCGCGCGTGACGTGCCGCGTACAGCGCGTATGACCTACTTTTTCTTAAATTCATGGAAACTGCGTCAATCTCAAACACCAAGCATCCGCTAGGGCGGACGGCAAATTATTATAAAGATATCGAAACATTGGCAGTTCGAGCCATGAAATCAAACCGTTTCGAATAGACACATAAGTTGATTATATTTAAATCATATTACATTTTTATATTTTATAAACTAAAACAATGATTAATGATATAAAAAATAAAAATATAATCTACATATGTAGAGCAAATCAGTCCTCCTAGCTTTCAAACAACGAGTAATCGCAAATATAATTAAACCGAATGAGTAAAAGAATAATGGCAAAATTGACCATGCAGTAATTAGGTTTAATTTAACAACAAAGACTAATTAATAGGCTTGCTCCAAATGCAATTAAAAAATTTTAAAACTTCTAAAAGCTGATAATTGTAAATTTGAAATAGTTGATATGTAAAAAAACAAGCAGATGAAAGTGTTATCAGAAAAAATCATATTTTAAACAATAAAGTAATTGCACTTTCAGCGTTTAACATCGAGGGAAATTAAAAAGGTAAATAATTGATGGTACAATAGTGTTGATATAATCGTAAACATTATTTTACAATAATCTAACAAAGTGATTATACATTTTCATACTTTTTTTGTTTATCAATTTAAAATTGTCATTTATTTTATTTCTTTCTTAAATAATCAGATATAAAAAATAATTCTAACTTGCATAAAGAAAAAAGAATAAAATAAAACAGAAATTATACAAAAATATTACCGATCTTTACAGATTGTACATATTAAATATATTTCAATAAATATTTATTATTAAAATAATTACTTTGAAAAATCATATCCGTAAGTTTTTAATGTGTGTTTAGTATTAATATATAAAAGTGTTTTTCTATTTATATTAGAACGACGCAATTGCTAAATACTCCGGATGCAATGGAAGAAAAGTATATACAACATTGCAAGAATTCTCTACAAATTTTAGAATTCCTTTTTCAATTACATAATGTATTGTAGGTATTTTTATTTCTAACTGGGAACATATTTAAATTTCTCAATAAATAAATAGGTAAATTAAAATTTTTCAATTTTCAATAAAATTACAATTTACTTAATATAATAGGGTATATAGGAGTGTGTGTGTGTGTGCGCGCGCGCGAGCGCGCGCGTTAAAAATATAAGTAAATTCATTACTATTTATATGACATTTTTATTCATAATTTAATCTAACTGCCTGTGAATGAATTACATATGAAAACGATTTAACTAAGATATATTATATTCAATTTTATATTTTATAAACTATCATTAATAATTTAACACGAATTTTGCATACTACCTAATTTCTTAGAAAATTCCAAAATTTGATTTTTATGGCAAATTTCTTTTGACGGATCTTCATATTCTGATTTAATACGAAGTAACCTCTCTGGTAAAGGTATTTCTAATTCTGAAACGCTATGTAGATTTAATCTATAATTTAATGCATAAATTCCACTCTCATTTCCTTGCTGTTGATCTAAAAAGTAAAAAATATTATATTCCTTAATTAATTAAATCTTATATTTGCTCACTAAAAATTGTCTGCGATCAGACTAAAAAACATTCCGGTGATGTTAGGTGGGGGGAATTGCTGGTAAGTGGAGGAAGCAGACGCACTTATTCAATTCAACACATAGCGTATCTTGGTTTTCTATTTATTTTCAGACAACAATGATATAATTATAAAATGGTGTTTATAGAATTATGTTGATGGCGATTGTAAAATGATTATAAATCTGTGAAACTCCTTCAGTGATTTTCTGCGGCTGTCGTGGGGCCTCCTTGTGGTATGCCCTGATTGTCGGTGATTAATAGTTCAAGTGCGGCCGTTCGCCGGACCTTTGCAAACTGTTTTATGGTTTACTAGACTCATGCCAAGCGGTCGCTGGTTCGCCTTTGCTATTTAATTTCTCCTTTTATTAGGTTCACGGTAATGTGTTTGTAATATCAAATTTTTGCTAATAAAGTGTTGGTGTGGTGTTTCAATCAAAATTCACTCTTGAATTACACTTAGCACTCGTGTCTGTTTGAATGTGACCTTTAAAGGATTATGATTTTGTATCGCGCCACTGTTGGCTTATGAGAGTATTAAGTTATATTTGGCCAGTTATGTACGTATACTACAATTCATCTCTGGTATGTGGCTGTGTTAATAACTGATAACTGATTGACTGAGTAATGCTAATGAGCGATAACAGTTGCGAACGATTGGTAAAATTATACTGAGAAATAACTGATGACTGAGTAAATGGTCAAGGTATAGTGAGCGTCTATGCGTGGCGAGCTACGCTTAAATATTATCGTGGCAGCTTGCAACGCTGGCAGCAGTGATCGAGCTTGTTGCTAGGCCGAAAGTCTTGATGACGTCAGAACGAAGCTACAGAATATTCGAGAAGTCTAGAAGTATACTGCCTTGGAAGGTTTGAGAATTGTCAATCGCCGTTGCTATGCGGAAATATTGTAGAACTCTAGACAATAAGGCGTAGACTATTCAAGAATTCGAAGAACCAATTTTTACAAACATAAGCGTCCGAGAACTTGTACTTTTCCCATTTTTTTAAATTCTTCGTCGTTGCTCCATCTCCAACAGTTATATTATTTATAAATTTTATAAATATATAATATATTATATATAAATTAAATTTATAGATTTATGTTTTTGTCAAAATACGTTTATGTCTTATGTTTTTATTTATATTTATACAATTTTAATAACATTTCGTATTTCATTTTAAAAAAAATAATTTAAAAAATGCAACTATTGTCAAAGAAATAATTCGATAGCCGTTTACTTAGAATGACATTATCCTTATAATAATCATCATATAATAATCATAGAATGATATTGATGATTGAATTTCAAATACTATCTCATACGATGTTACTGCTTGATGTTCATATGAATGAACGTCTACTAATGATAATGAAATAACCATATTAAATATATAATATAGTAATATAGATAATATAGTAATATAGTATAATATAGATAATAAAGTATCGTTTTAACTATTGCACCTAGATATTGCTAATTCCTTATCCTAGTGTATTTACTGTTACAGATGTATCAAGCAAATATATTTTAAAAAAATTATTCAATAAGCATTTAAATTTAACCAAAATTTTGATCAGAAATTGGTATTTTAGATGTTGCTTATATTACATGTAGTTAGTATATAAACCAATATTTTTCAACAGATAAAAGTATTGACCAGGCTTTGAGGAAATATAGCAGCAGCTTATTGTTTATTAATTTTAATTCTAATAACAACATTCATTTATAAATTTATTGTAAATTTTGTTATAATTCGACTAATTTATTTATTGGTATTCTATGTATTATTATTTTGAGCATTGCTTTCATCTTTGTATGGATATTATTTATTATCTGAATATATGACCATACGAACAAAATAAAAGTACGTGTTTTATAATTTTACATAAGTATACATAAATTTTACATAAATATTATATAAAGATAATTTACAAATTTTAAAGTATTACTCTTTATAATCCGATTTCGTTGTATCAAAAACTATTATTGTTTTATCTTTAATAAAAAATTATTTATATTTAATATAACATTTATTAAATATCTAAAAATATAAATTTATAATTAATATCTAAATAATTTATTGCGATTCTCAATGTTTTAAATATAAAAATTAAACTGTTTATTTGTATCAAACTGATTAAAGAATATTAATTAAAGATAAACTTACTTATTACACGTGCTGAAGATCCTATGGGTAATAATCGTTCCATTGCAGGTATTTTTATTGAAATTTTCTTATTACATCTGGATGCAATATCTTGATTATTCGTAAACTGTTCACAATGAGAAGAGCCAGTTGAATATGATTTTTTTTTGTTACATGTGTTGGTAGATGACAAATTCGAAAATACTATTGAATATGTTAAATGTTAATGTTTAATGTCGTTTTTACTTTAATATGGTATAGTTTTAAGTATAGTTTTAAGTAAAGATTACTTGTAAGAAAAAATACTTACCATCAAATGATCTGAAAAAATAAATGATACACTATTTTAATATATATTCATTTGCTTTACTACATTTATAATAAAAATAAGTAATTATTTTATTTTATAAATATTTGAAAAATTCTGTCATAATTCTTTATTTAGTTATCTAATAAGTATATTTAAACTGTACTTTTTTATCATAATTATTAATTATTCAAAATTAAATATTTTAAAAATTAATTCAATATTAAAAGTGAAAAACATAAAAACAATGTTATTTGCAAATTAAAATTTTTTTTTAATTAAATGTATTATTAAATTAAATTTCAATTACAAATTCAGTAAAATACAATTTTGAATAAGGCATATTAATGGTTGTAACTACTTGAACAACCTGAAGTCCGCAATGGTTCCTTCAATTTATATTGAAAAAGAATTAACAAATTTCTTCAATTAATAATGTGTGTTTGATGATACTGTAAATTGCGTGGTAAATTGTAATTAAATACGAAACGATGATTAATTATCGTTGCTTTATGTTTTTATTATTGCTTTTAAAATTAGAATTCTCAAGATTATGATGAACAGTTATAATTTACAATATAAATCAGTATATAAACTATTCATACCTATTGTTTAAGGTGTAATCTTTTCCAAATTTTTGTTTAAAAGTATTATTTGTATTTATACTATTTTGATTATTATCATTGTACAATGATTCAAAATTTAAAACATTGTCATTCTTTTTGGAAATATTTTTTATTTGCTGAAATATATAATATGGAGTTACATAAATATAAAAAATAATCATAATTAAATAAAATTATTAAAATATTACTGAAAAGCAATATATGGATGGGATAAAGTAAAGTAACATGTAGCAGTACATTGAATAACACTGACGATTTTCTTTATAAAATATATCTTCATGCACCTTTGTATCATTATATACAATAATGACAAATTTAATTACCGATGATATGCGCGTTTATTTATGTACTTTTGTTCAAAGTTTAAATTGGTCGATATATAAAATTATGTCAAACAATTTATCTACGAAAATAATTGGATTTTATAAGAAAATTGAAAAAAATAAAGTGAATAGAAATGAAAAATTTAATAAAATAATTATTAAGCAAAATAATTGCAGCAGTATTAACGAATTTCTATGTATTGTAACATTTATATTTATCTTCAATGGATTCTCATCCACTAACTATAATTCTCTCGCAGTGTCTCTAATATTATAATTCATTAATTTAAATATAATTATTATAATTATAATTCATTATTTAAAATTAATTTATATTTGAGAAACTATTAGAATTATCAATGATTACTTTATGTGTATTTTTTTATCAGACTACTTTCCTGCGTGAATTAATATCATTTTTCTCATTCTATTAATGGCAAATTATTTCAATATTTTTGTATTGATATTTTTTATTATATTATAACTTTTTGGCTTTAATTAAATAATAAATAACAATTCAATATTTATAATTCTAAATATGATATAATGAATTAATTATAATCTAAATTTATATGTTTAGAATTAGACTATGGCCACGAGTTTCCCGGTGGGAGAAAAGTGTGAGCAAGTGGAATCCTTAATTCTGTATTTAACACATCTGCTCTTCGTGCTTGGTATTTTGTTTATTTTACAATTACAATATAATGATTCTACGTTGATCGTGAAAATCGTTGAGATCTTGCCGTTTATTGGTTGTTGTCATGTGGTGTCAGCATGCACTGCATATACAAGTAGGAGGTTGTAGATCTCTGGATTCTCTTGATGCAATATGCTTGGTGGTGAAATACTACACTGAGCGTGAGAGATCGTAAGTAAATTATTAATAATTTATATTATTAATAGTAAATTTTCGGAAGATTGATAGATTGATTTTTATTTCTGACTGTAATATGGAATTTAACTATAAGACCTACATAAACATCCGCATATCACATTTTACAACATGACATACTTTTAATCATGATGCCCCTTTACATTTATTATACTCATTTTTAAACAATTTTAAATTATTTTAATTATAATATAATATAAAATAATATAATATAATATAATTTGAAATAAAAAATTTAATTTATTGTTATTATCATTTTTTTTTATTTTAAAAATTTATTTTTACAAACAATGATATAATAATATAATATTATTTATTATCTATTATTAAGTTTTTTTTAATTTCTATTTGTTGGAGATTGCGAGGCCTTTTTCAATAAAATAAAACATCTAGCAAAGCAACATCATTAAATTGTCATTAGTCTTCAATAAAACTTCTGCTCTTTTTGTATCAAGCTAAAACATCATTAAACTCGATCATAAAGCTTGAAGAAAACCTTCTCACTGACGTCGGAGACACGAAAAGGTCAGTACATGTGGAAAACCCCGAAAATCAGTTATGCTAGTTTTTGACGCGTTAATGACCTAAATGTTTACTGGTACGGACACGTCGGCTCTGCTTTTACTAGAACAATTGGAAGTACAAGATGTACGTAAACTCTTGGCCATAAACAAAGTTTCTTACTTTTCACTGCAACCCAACACCCCAGCACGTGTGACATCGGGCAATCGGCATACATGCACATTCAAGACAATGCTTACATTGTTCTCAACTCCGCCGAATCTTGCCAATCGACGATAGCCAATAGTTAACGCTCCCAGAGGATCTGCCATATCGATAAGTCACAGAAAAGAGAGAGAAGAAGAATAGGAGGAGCCCCCCTTCATACACTTTCTCGATTTTAGCATATTCAAGACTGTCTAAAAATAGAGTACCGGGCGAGGAGGGCTAAATATCTAAAGTTAGTTGTAAACTCCTAGAGGGTGGAAAGGAGGATTGCGGGCAAGTGGACCGGATAGTGCATGTATTCAATAATAAATAGTTTTGGTATTTGTTGTAGTTTATTGCGATAATTGCATTAGTTGTTATCCGGGATCAGACTAAAAGCCTCCCTGTGATGGTGAATGGAGGCTTGCTGGCAAGTGGAAGGGGCAATATAATAATTGAATACTGCCTTTAGAGTGTAGTGCTTTTCCCTTTATTGAATATAATAAATATAATAAATAGTCAGTGATCCATGAATGTCGAAATGAATGTATGATACAATGAATGGATGAGAGTTTCTTCAATTAATATTTGTGACGATAATTCTGTAAGTGTATTCTTGATAACCTGGAGCTAGATTCTCCTTCTCCTTATGAATTCGTAGTAGTAGTGGGAGACTCGCGCTGGTAGGGGCAGCGAGTTGAGGCCGCCTTAGCCGCTGGCGTAGAATGAGCGCTATAGTGGTTTGGTGGCAGATGTCCGTGTGACGTCACTGCTTTACGGAGTGGGAGATTCACTCGAACCGTATACTGTGATATCGATAATTTGCGGTATTGGTATATGTTAGTAGTGTTGCCGCTTACGTAGTTGACAGGAGCTGTGTATTGGTAAGCCGTAAAACGTGTGCAATAGCGTAGCTTACGTACGGGCTGGAGTTGACTCAGTAGTATTAGTAGTACGTAAGAGCGAGTGTAATAGTCTCGCTTACCTACATGTTGGAGTCGATCTCAGTAGTATTGACTGGAGCCGAGCTGAAGAATGACGATCTTGTCGTAATGAATGCTTGATTGAACTAGTAAGAGGGCGAGAGCATCAAATGCTGCTCCTTAAATATCCTAGGACAAGCTTGCGGATCCGGTGATTAATCATTCTTGCCAAGCTGATTGTTAGACGTCACTAGAGTCCAGCCTTGGGGAGTTCGTCGGCTTTGTTAGTCGGAATTGTATTGTAATATTCACAGAATTGTGTTTATGACTCGGCGCACAAATGTTTCTAACTAAGCACAGGTGTCTTTACCTTTTCCAATTGGTATACCGCTTAAAACTGCTGTAATCCGTAACAGTTGTATTATAATGATTTTTAGTTGATGTTTGAATGCCTTCATTTCTTAAATTACGTATTGATATTGCCACAGAGCATAATGTGCGTTCCATGTACAGGTAGAATGCACGTAGTGGTGGAGTTATACACGTAGAAGAACAATGTCGTAAACCCCCGCGCTTCCTTGTGTAGTGACACGTGGCAGTATCTAGAGTTTGCCTTATTATTGTCTTATTGCTCACCTTCGAAGCTCTGCAGGTGTGCTCTTGGTGGCACTTCATCTTCGTCTGCAAGTATTGCTCATTACGAAGCCTCGTAAGTCTATCTTGTGGGAACTAAACTTGCCCCTAATGCGTTTGTAGATTGTGTGCGTTTGATCGCTCTACAATTCTTTACCTTGTGTGGAATATTGTGTATTATTATCGTTATTAAGGAATGGAACTTTTACCTTGTGAGTTTTGCAGATTTTGTGCTCTTGATAGCAGCTAGTGATGTCTGCAGGTTGTGCCTCGTGCAGCAGCTTCTAGTTTCCTTTTTTCGGATGTCAACTGGAAGGATGGTTTTTTTGCTTATATTTTTATGACTTGATTATCCAAGAAGTATTATGGCTTGTAGTGAATGGATACTTTATGCCATAGTCGCGTCAAATTTCTCGCCGCATTAGTTTTATGACGTGTTTCGTTAGACACATGATCACATATTCTCGCCGGATGTGTTTATGAATTGTTTTTCTATAGATAATCAAGGGTTTGCTTATTCCGGGACTTTTATCTCGAGTTTTCCAAATGTCTAATGAGCTGGGAGTATTCTTACTTTCTTGAACAAAAAATATACCCGGAAGGAAGTGGAAATAAAGGCGTGCATGATTAATCATGCCGCCCAAAGTCGCACTCTGATTCGATACAAGAAAGAAGAAGATGTTGCTAGTGAAACCGAGTCAGTGAACTATTCAAGCAGGACAAATGCAATGTACCAAAATTTATTCTTACGAAAAGTTACGACTATACCCAACAAGGAGGAAAAGTGTCTTGTAAAAATAGCTTTCATTCTGTGATTAGTGACCACAGATACAGATAATCTCGCCAAGCAAGTAAGGCCCAAAGAAGAGATTCCCATCCTCTCATGAAATAGAGACAAGGAAAGTTCAAGTGTCAGTAGTTCGCATATGGAAACATCACTTTCACACCCGTGAGGAGAAATAAGGAATATAACACTACAGCTCCAAGTAAATCTGCATTAGTGTTCATTCTTCTCCTCACGGACTATTCAGAAAACGGACCTACAAGCATTTAATATCCAGAAGTTTCGCGCAATTCATCGACGCGCATTTCCTCTAACCTCAATCTTAGGCTCATGCTCATTCACACGACTTATTATTAAAGGTAGCTGCAACACGTGCCAAGACCACGACGCAGCCAAGACCAGTAATGTTCGTTCAAGAGCATAACAAATAGCCATAACCTGTCAAGTGATAGTATTGAAAGTGACAATAATTTATAGCGTATTTATTTTCACAGTAAATCACTATTTCACACGCACCGTCCAGAGGATTAGGAATTTCAAAATCGTCTAGTTCTCCAATAGAATATATCACAAGGCCACAATATTATTGAGAAACGTAAAGGTCTTTTATGACTTCATCACGATTAACAATCTCTATATTGAAATTAAATTGAAAATAAATGGAATAATCAGAAATAAGAATTATATGTGTTAATTATTGAATCTGTGCATTAACCCTTGCACTTGCCCGCGCATTTTCCCACACAACACCTAGTGGTTTTCTTAGTTAATTCTAAACAATATTCTAAGTAATATTTAATGACTAAATATTATTGACAATACAATTTTAAAAGCTTCTTACCTCTAAATTGTAAAGATTTTCACTTGGTAAATGAATGAATTTTTCTTTAGTCATACTAAAGTTCTTCGGTAATTTCAATTTTTTTCCTTTCTTATATGAACTAGAATCTTTAAATAAGTTCACATTTGATGCAAGTATTGTTTCATTACATATAGTAGCACCATTATGTATTTCTTCTAAGTATTTACCGCTTTGTAGAGATTCATTAGATTTTGGACTTTCCGGAATTGCTGCCAATTCAGATTCGGTATCTTCTACGTTGATAGAATGGCTTAGAAAAAAATTATATATTAAAATAAAAATTAATAAATAAATTTAATTATTTATTGAAGTGAATAGAGTAATTTATATATTACTTATGATTCTAATCATTATATCAGTAAGTGATAGCTTCACTAATCAGCCGGGCATTCACTTAGCCTGCAATAATATTACATGCATAAATGCAAACAAAACATTTAATGATTATAAGTACTGCGTATTACAAGGAAAAATAATGATTTAATTAAAATTTGTATTATGATAATGGTTATGATACAAATAAACGTGTAAATTTAAAAAAGAAATATTTCCTTGTTCCTTATCCGTTAATTTTTCAATAAATTAGCAGATATATATTTATTATAGTAAATAGTGTAACTTGAATTAGCTTTTATATTCACGCGAGTTTTTATTTTTACATTAAATTTAAAAATATATCTTTGAAAGACCTTTCTTTTTTTTTGCTTAATTACTATACTTAATAATGAATAGATACAAACTCCATCTTTAAAAATGTTTCATTATCAGTGAAGTTACTTCTTCTTTATTTTTGTATATTTGTTAAATCAATAATTATATATTTATTTATATATTATTTTATAGATGTATAGAGTATATCATATTCTAAATATAACATAATAAGTTAGGCTAAGAGAAATATGTTTGTTATTAAGTGAGTGTTTTTGTACAAAAGTGTCCGATGAACCGACTTGTTCCACCAAATCCGGTTATCCGGCTCGAAGGACCAAAATGTTTAGAATTAACTCAGAGACCATGAGATTTTATGTGGGAGAAATGTGCGGGCAAGTGAAAGGTATAGCGTATTTAATTCAATATTAACATATCTGTTTGTTATGCTGTTTATTTCGTTAATTTCCAGATACAGAAATGATTCTTGTTGCTGATATCAATCGATGAACTCTTAGGTTCTGGACACTTCACACTTGGCTTTAGCATGCACCTTAATTAGGTTTAGGAAGTTGTAAATTTTCTGATTGTCTTGGTGTAGTGTACCGGTTTTATTCCCTGGGAAGTGAGAGGATGTAAAACTCTTACCACTTCTTCGAGTAGAGCCGCATGGTATAGCTGCGGTTGTTTCGTGCACTGGTGGCACATGCGGTTTCGACGATTCTGCAAGATGAACACTGAATGGCGCGAAGAATGGCTTGCCGACATGTTCTTCATGCGTCTGGGGCACTAGCGAGATTCTCTTTGGATACAGGCAATAGAATTAGTTAAGATAATTTTACGTGGACCTTTGAAGCGGCCTTAATCCTTTAAGTATATTCGGTGACCTGGCTCCTGGCGAGACCTAGATTGAGAGATTATGTCTATGACGCCTTGAGTAGACGAGACTATAAACGAAGACTTCTCTTCGGACTTAGATGAAGGAACTTTTTTACCAATTCTTTTATCGATGAGTACTTCACCTAGTCAGGTAGTGACTAAATCTTATGGTTGTCCCTCCTAAATAGAGTTCACTGCATATGTTTCCACTTGGGACCCCTTCTCTTTTATTGTGTCCAATCAGAGAGCTTTATAGAGTGAGAGCAGCGCCTCACACGGCATTACCTTCAATCAGAAAGCTCAGTCTTCTCTTGGCCTTCGCACCAAGAAGAGCTCTCGATCTGATTGTCCTCGAAGCGCCCCTGGCGGTCGAATGACAGACTTGACAACAGGTGAGGGGGAACATACCGTTAAAATTTAGATTTTGGGCATAGCTATTCTTTTCAGCTGCCTAATAAGTTGGTTTTTCCCGAGTCTAACGACTTGTTTTGCCAGATGTTTAATGACACTCCTGCCAGATTATTATTGGGCAGGACTTTTCAGAAATCTAACGACTATTTAATGATGTTGTTTTGCCAGATGTTTTATAGCATTGGAAAAGGGTCTCACAATCTCTAAGAATTTTATATTGTAATTTGTATATATTTATGAATAGGAATATATTTATTGTATGCGTAAGTTAAAACTATACAAACCACCAAACTTAAATATTATAATTTTGTGAAAATCTATATTAATTAACTATTCTAAAAAAATTATATGCAATGCATCATTAAAATCAGATGAGTCCTACTGTAAGTCTGCATCTAATTATATTAATAGTTCTTTATTGGCGATGGGCAATTTCTGAAGAAAACCTCTAATACTTATATTTTTTTTATATATATATATATATATATATATATATATATATATATATATATATATATTAATATATATTGTACAAAATTTATTCGCCGTTCCGGCTTGTTTTGCCAAAGCCGGTTCGAAGGATAAAAATTGAGGTCGTTGACAACTCAGAGACCACGGGTGTTGTGTGGTAGCCATGAAAGGTCACAAGTGGAAGGGATATTATAATAAAACAATATATGTTTATTCTGTTATTAATTGATGACAAGGTTGACTAGTATTACTATAATTAATTATGGAAATAATTCTCGTAGTGGATTAATGTACACACTCATCTATGCAGCGTAATGGTTGAATTTGATTGCAGAATGGCGCGAAGTTTGATTCGTCGACACTCGCATTGTTTGAATGACCGCCTGTGTAGTTGAGGTTATGGTTGTATCTGAGTGCGACACATGTAGTGTTGTTGTTTGAGAGATATACTCGAATCTTAGTAAGCGTACCATGTCCTGATATTGGCGTACTGCAATAAATTTAGATGAAAGTAAGAGTTTGAAGGGCCTTTACCTCATGAAGGATACTGCTACGTGTTCTGGCTATTATAAGCGTTGACTGATTCATAAGAGACCGACTTTGAACTAAGGTGAGGGTTTTCCGACAAGACGCCCTTTAGTTCGCCCTGGAATCTATTCCGCACTGTTGCTCTGGGGAGAGCTTCTTCGTCCTTAGTGGCTTGTCGATATCATAATTTCTGAATCTCAGAATATCAAATTATTGTAGTAATAATACTACTTACGAAGACTAATCGTTGATTCGTCACCGGACACTGATATGCGGATTGTTGTCGCTCCTCTAGCACATGTGATCACAGTTCCCTTGACAGCGTTAATGAACTTCCACTTGACACTTATTTGAATAAGAACTATATCGAGAGTGACTAATATTGAAAAATGCGTCCCTTAAATACATTTACTGATCATGAACAGCCTCTTTTTCTTTGGTTGATTGTCGATGACGTATTCTGAATCTTAAGTTTTATTTTATTATTGTAGTGGTGCTACGACTCACGAAGACTTGTCTTCGGACTTCGATAGGTGGATTGTCTTCGAACCTTTTGAACTTGTAACGACTGTTGCTTTGAACTGTTTTAATGGACTTCCACTTGACATTTATTTGAATACGTACTGTATCGAGAGTGTTTGAATCTTAAAAATGCGCCCCTTAAATACATTTGCTGACCTTGAACTTCACTTGAACCCCTTCCCTTATTTTTCGTCCAATCAGAGACTTCTCCCTTACAGAGCGAGGGCAGCGCCTCTTGTGGCTTCGGAGTTAATTAAGGGCCTAGTCGTCTCTTGGTCTTCATGATAAGAAGACCTCTCGTTTCCGCTGATGCATCTGGCGACAGCATGACAACTTGACGACAGGGGGGGGGGGATAAGACCTCGTAGGGCCGCTGGACATAATGCCTGAAGTAATTACCGAGCGGAGTGAATTCGTACGTATGCCTAACTGAGTGGGTTTTTCCGTGTTTATTGTATTGTTTCTGCAGATGTTTTATGACACTATTGCTAGATAGTTGCGAGCAAGAAAGTTTTGAAATCAAAACACAAATTTACGATATTGTTTTGTCAAATGTTATATTGCATTGAAAAAAAATCTCGCAATCTATCATATGTATATATATATATATTTCAATCACTAAAATTTTAAAAAGTAGATTAAATTGATTAAACAACAAAAAGAGACGAGTTTTATTAATACTATTATGGGATCAATAATAAATTTGCTGAAGTTATTCAGTTACTGTTCTCAATACTTTCAATAATTAAATTTTTTGCTTCTACTGAATGGTTCATAAATTAACAATTTTTTCAACATTATTCGTTTAATTTTCTTTTATTATTTATTTTTCGTTGTTTTATATTAAAATTAAACCTGTAAAAATTGTCATAAATATTTAAACTGACATCATAGTGTAATGTCAGTCGAGATAGACAATCAGGTACTATTAAAATAATGTTCTTATTATATTCACATGAAAAATAGGGTTTAATGCATCTTGATTATACACACTATTACTTCAAAAGTTTTTTTGTACATATTGTATAGAAATTAACTAAGAAAACCACTAGATGTTGTGTGGGAGAATGTAAGATGCCGAATGCCCGATGTAGCACATGCTGAGGTTTTGTGTTGCAGCGAAGGCAAGAAATGTTTTTATGGTCAAGAATTTTTCGTATATCTGGCACTTCCATTGTTCGTTTCGACAGATTCGACGCGGTCGTGCCAGTGAACATTTAGGTCATTAACGCGTCAAACAATGAACGTATTGGTAATGCTAAGTAACTGGCATAACTGATTTTCGGGGTTTTCCAGATGTGCTGACCCTTTCGTGTCTCTGACGTCTGTGAGAGGGTTTTCTTCAAGTTTTATGATCAAGTTCAATGACATTCTAGCTTGATGCAAACTGAGCAGGAATTTTACTGAAGACTAACAACAATTTAATGATGATGTTTTGCCAGATGTTTTATTGCATTGTAAAATGTCTCGCAATCTCGAACACATATTATGGAGGTTTAATTGGATTGCTATTATACTAAGAAGAATTATCTGCGTATCAGCATCCATTGCGATTGTAATCATATTATTCTCAATGTATATTTCCAACAGAATTTATTTACCTTAGTGTTCAATGGTATCATTTATATCTATATTAGAACAAAATTCTAATAATTTGCACATTATGATATATAAATTTCTTTACTTTTTTAATTTGAATTAATATTTTATCTTACAACCTGTAAATCTTCATAAGCATTCTTGGTTTAATATTGGAATTTCGAGAAAGTATAATGCAATGTATATATTATATTATATTATACATATATTATACATAGCTTCAGATACTAGTAAGACCCGCACTTGAGGATAAAACGTACGGCGTAGATACATTCTAGAAAAATTGACAGAATGTCGCAGTGCAATTTATTACAACGAATTTTCATTCATGTAAAATTAAATTTAATCAACTAGTCGAGCTTATAGATACTCATATATAATCCATATCGCGAGATACTCCCATTGAAGAAAATATACGTTAATAAAAAATGCGAATGAATTTGACTTGATAAACATTTTCATTGTTAATTGTTTTTAAAAATATTTTTTGTCGCTGTGTTTAATCTGTTCAATCCTACATATAATCATTTAGCGTCTTTTAGTAATGCCATTATTATTGCACTAAAATGCTTATTCTTTTTTTAATAATGTTAATAAGAAAAATTTATTTTAAATATTGATATACAGATTACTTACTATATTGATTATATAAATATTATTCCACCAATTTTAATATAAATATGGAAGTTTTTTACGTAAAGGTTATACAGAATCAACATAATAACATTAATCGATTGAACAAAAACAGTTTTGTTTGTATCAGCTGTATATAATTATTGACAGTCATCGAATATATATTTATATTAGTTATTAATATTAATAAGTAATTATTATATATACTAAATTACATTTATTTTCTATAATTCAAAGATCTATTTTTTAATTGTTTTATACGGCAAACATATTTGTTTCGAACTAAATAAAGATATATTTGCTATATTGCTATACGACTAATTAATATTTTACATATTAAATATAAACTAAAATGACACTAGAATGAAGTTATTAGAATGAAACTATTATTTATAAGTAATTGAAAAATATTAGCTTCCATTGGTACAAGTGGTTTTATATTATTGTTTGATGATATTTCATCAAATATTTTTGGGCTCCACATATTTCATGTAGCATGTTACTTAAATTTAACTATTAATTTATCGATTCTTAAAAATTTTGGATTCTATAACATCTAATGGTATATTTTAATATATTAATAAGCATTTCATGTATAGTGGTTAAACAATGTCTACATTTATTATGTAATATATTTATCTATTTGGCTGCCTGTATGTGCATGAATCCCTCAAATACATATTAGCTATAATATTGGATATAATAAGGAACTTTCAATATTATTTTTATAAATAATCAATAATAAATTATAAATATACA